TACTGAATCCATTATTTTACTAATACTTTCCATAGTACAGATTGACAAAATACTTATAATTATTTTGGATTAGAAAATCCTAAATCTACTATGACAGAGTGCTTGGTGCTATATAATGTTTAAATGCTGTTTGGTTAGTAACTGGTTTCCTCATATATAACATGAGGCAATAATGCAAAATTCACAAGGACCACTGTAAGGAATAAGATGATACATGTATCAAGGTGCTGCAAACTTAAAATTAACAATAACTAGGGTGTATTCCTAAAACAGAAATTTTAAAATGTAAAAGAGATCAGAATTTACCAGTCAAGACTCTCTTTATCATCTCGAGATATTAACGCTAGCCAGTAGAGGCAGCCACTTTTTCTTTAATTGTGAATAAACAGTATTCTAAAGCATACATGGTAAAAAATGAGAAGGAAATGCAGCTTTATTTCTCTCCAAGCTCGTTTTCAATTATATATTAAAGCTATTGAGGAAACTAAAATAGGACTCCTTTTTTTAAGGACTCATCTACCGAGAAACTTACAACTCATTTTACTAAAACTATAGAGGAAATATTGTATAAGCACGAATGAATAAACCAAAACCAATACTTTAGAACTAAAATGGGAAATTTTTTATGAGGCTCTTGAAGTAATATATCTAGTATATACTAAAAATTCATATCTCCTAAAAACATATACTAATTACTGAACAATTACATCATGCTGTTTTAGAGTTGCTTAAAATATGATAAAAAGTATCTAAGTGTTCGATATGAAATTGTACTCCATCTTCCAATAAACCATGAAAGATTATCTGTTGTATGAGAAGTAAATAGAAAAAAATTACTTTTGAGGAAAAATATTGTTTGGATACTGCTTTTTCTAATTAAAAATTAATGAACAGTGTTGGTCATACACAAATAAAAGAATTATAGTTAGGATTTAAAATCCAGCAATGGTAGCCACATAAATCATTTTCATAGTTTAAAAGCAATGAGACTAGAGTACACTATAAAGTAGAAATTCTTCATATTTGTCTATTTTTAAAAAGTAGTACTATTCTCTTGAACATGTTATTTTTCTTCACCTAACTGTTCGTTTAGCCAATATAAAATTTATTTAGATAAACAAAATTAAAGATATGACCAATACAACTGTAGAATACAATTAAAAAATTTCTTTAAATTGCAGGGGCCATCCTTATTTTTCAGATGCCTAACACAGTGCCTGACAGACAGAAGATACTCCATGGATGTTTAATGAATAGCTAAGTACAATCTATTTTTCACATACATTCAAAATCCAGACAAGTTTACAAAGATACATATGTTGGATATAGGCTTTCTGGCTGACTTCATGGGGTCCCACTGATGACTAGATGTAAATCTTCATATCCATAGAAAACTGGAAAGCTGATAATTGTCTGGGTAAGGACCAAAAAAACAAAGTCAGGGAAACATGTCACCTAAGTAACAATTGCTTTATAGAGCTGGTAAAAGCCACCTAGTCATCCCAACAACCTATTGTACCATTCATTCAATGAAATAAACAACCGAATCTTGAATCTTGAACAAGCACTTTTTTTTTTACAAGGAATTTTTAAGTCATTGCTAATCCAAAATCAGTCACTTTTGTCCAATTCTATCCAGATAAGGAATAGAAAGAAGTATGTTTTTACTTCTTATTATGAGTACTACATTTTTAACAATATTTAATTTGGCTGTTAATCAGGAAAAGAGAGAGAGCAAAGGTAAAGAAAAATATTTTTCAAGAAGAAGAAATTATGGTAGTGAGAGTTGTGGCAAGTAGAAAGGGCAAAAGGCAAGAGGAAGCGATCTCACATTCCTTGAGTGAAGAAATTCCAATCTATCTCTAAAACAAATGTGGATTACAGCTAGTAGGCTCTACTGTGCACCAGGTGTGCTATGAATGAGTAGCACAAGTTTTAACCAGGCAAAGTCTTTCTCCTTAAGTTGTTCATTAACACAAAACTCACAAGTAAACATTTAAAATGGAACCAGAGTTTGACTTCTTTTTACATATATGGGTTGTTCATACAAAAGTAAGAAACAAATTTGCTGATTAATTGGAGGTTCCAGGAGAAAAAATAGCATTAAAAAAGGCTGAAATGATTCTCAAAATAGTATTAATCCTCAACCAAAGAAATCACTACCTCTTTAAAAGGTCAACAAGGGTGGGGGGGAGTGAACAACAAAGTATTAAAGTACAAATGGACAAATTATAGCTCGAAAGCTAAGTAAAACTAACCCTTGAAGGGCTTGTGGCACAGGCCCTCAAGCCCAGCACTGGGAGGAAAAGTCAGGTGGATCTCTGTGAATTCAAGACCAGCCTGGTCTACATAGAGAATTCCAGGCCAGCCAGAATTATATGGTGAGACCCTGTCTCAAAAAAGGGGGTAGGGAGCTCCATATAAAACTTTGAAGTATTATACACGAAATTGCGCATGACAGTTTTATTTTGGACAAAAAGTGGTGTAGTACAGCATATTAATTTGTGTAACATACTAAGTTTCTTAGTTCTCCAGTCCCTAAGCTGTACACTCACAGGCCTTGGAAACTTGACGAAGTTCTTCAAGCTCTAAAATATCAACAGCATGGAAAATGAAGAGTTAGATAAAGTGGCCTCCAATTTATTATCTAGTTTAAAAATCACCACCCTAAAATACTAACACTTCTTAATACTTAGATCATAAGCCATAATAAAAATATATAAAAAGGTATTCAAGGCATAAGTGATTATCTCAGTTCTAGAAAGTGCAGAGTCTTCTAACCATATTAGGGATTAGCTAGCAAATGGGAGGATAAGGAATGCTTTCAAAGGAAAACAAACAGATGGGTGTGGTAGCACATGCCTGTAATTCTACCACTCAGAAGACTAAGGCAGGAAGATCATGTGTTCAAGGCCACCCTCAGCAATACATCAAGGCCCTGTCTCAAAGGAAAGAGAAAAAAACGAAACATGAACAAACAAACAAAAAAAAAACCCCACAATCTAAATACAGGCACTAAATTCAGGACTGCAAATTTTTACTCAGTGGCCTACCAGTCAACTACCACCTCAATTATCTGTACAAATCGTGCACTTAAAATTGGTTTCTTCAATAGGTTTACTTTCTACCTCTTACATCAACATTGCTAAGTTTTTAATGTAAGGACAAAAAATCTTAGGTGGATAAGGATTAGTAGAATTGATCATGGGAAAAAAACAGCACTTGGCACAGATTTCTGCTTAAGTGCAGCAATTACATTTCAGAAAAGGTAAGACACTTCAAATTTATAACAAATGAGAGAAATAAAAGCATATCATTTACAGTCACACTGTTTTTCCCCCATGTGTAAATGTCTATTTCTGCAGAGTAGATAATTAAAAATTTTACAGAATGAGTTCTATATATGCAATGCTTTTCAGTCTTTAAAATATGAGTATATCATGTTTTGGCTTCACCATTAAGAAGACCAAAAAAATTAAAAGTATCATCAAAGTGTTTGACTATGCCAAACAGTCTTGTAGATTTGTATTTCTTCATTATTTTCTAGCTCATCAAATTACTATTTTCATATTGCTGACATAAATTATAGGATCAGAGACACCAATGCAATGTTTTTAAAAATGAAAGACATAAACACAGAGAAAGAATATAAATGTGTGCATCCATCTTCAAGATTAAAGAAATGTGTAAATGAAATAAATACCACTTCCCAAAGTCTTAGTATAAGGCCTACATCAGAAATATATTTTTAGCATCTGTAAAATAAAATATACCACTGAATGAATGCTATTCACTAAAAACATTCTATGTGAAAATGGAGAATTTTTTTAATCAAGGCTGTTATTCTATAAACATAAATCTGAATTTACCTTTCAATTTGTATCTAACTACCATATACTACCTACAACTTCATATTTTTACCTCATTAAAAGTGTATTTTAGAAATTTATCTCCTTTTATATGTAGTGAACAAATTTAGTACAGCACCCCAAGAGATGAAAAACTCATCTCAATTTACAACAGTAAATAAATAATTCAGTTAAAACTGAAAGTGGTACCAATCCAGGAAACTACGATGGAGAGGTGTGTGGCCTTCCATACAGTCAGAACAACATAAAAGTTTTCAATGGGGATCACTTGTTCAGACAAGTTACAAAGATTAGAAAAATACCAAGTAAGTTATGAAATAGGTAATATCCTCATCTTATGGTTAAAAACAAACAAACCAGGAACATATATGGGAAAAGACAATATCAGTCACATTTAAACTTTAAGCATTTTTAAACTTTGAACTTTATATAGTCAAACATGAAACAAATATTTTACAAAAAAGCAATAATACAAGTCAAAAACTCAACCAAAGGCCTCTATCAACTAATGATTTGAAATTTGCTATGCAATTCAGACAAAACAAAACAAAAATGGAGAAATTAAACACTATACCACAAAAACCAATCAAGTCTTCCAACCTTAAAGTCAATATTCAAATCACATACAGAAGGAAAAAGGGGGAAACACTCATGTCTACAATTGGATAAGCAGTTCCAATGCAATCCAGATCCCGACATTTTCCCACTCAGAAACAAATGCAGTACAGCTTTTCCTGGAGAAAGAGAAAAAAGCTCTCTAAATGTAATTTTTAAGTGACATCTAGAAAGTGTGCCTCTTTCTCTTTCCCTGGCGCCTCATTGGAAGAAGGAGGGGGTTGTTTTTGTATTTTCCCCCACTGAAACCAGGCACAATCAGATGTTAGCTGGAGGAGAGAAACCACTTTTGACAACAGCAAATCAAAATTAAAGTGTCCTTCCTCCCCTGACAGGATGGACACCCCACCTCACACATCCCTCCCCACTCCAGCCCCTCCTTCACTCCCCCCCCCCAGCACCACCCCCTCCTCCTCACCCCGGAGCTCCACTGCGTATGAGGTTTGGTGCTAGTGCTGCCCCGGAGTGAAAGTCAGAGCCAGAGGGAGGCAATGAAGCCCCCACAGACACACTTACCTTTCCTGCCCCCCACTTTTGAGTGCCTTCCCTGGAGCTGTGGAGGATGACACAAAGGGTAATAAAGGGGGGGAGTGGAGGAGGAGGCAGCGGCGGAGGAGGAGGAGAGCTGGGGAAGTGGCTGCTCCTGGGTGTAGGGAGATGTCTCCAGCCAGGGCCAAGCAGCAACAGCAGCAGCAACAGCAGCAGTGGCAGCAGCGGCAGCAGCAGCAAAGGGTCTGTGTTGCTAAGAGGCTTCTGGTCTCTTTCTCTCCTCCTCTCACGGCCAAAGAGAAGGAGGGTGGAGAGGGCTCGGGAGGCAGGCGAGCGGAGGGCTGAGGGGGTAGGAGTCGTGGATGGGGGTTTTCGAAGAAGAAGAAACTCCTTTTCCTTCTCTCTCAGGCTCAATCCCCCTCTCAGGGCTCGGAGCTGGAGGGTGGGGGAGGAACTCGGCCGCCTTCCCCCCACCCCCCTCAATTCAAGGTTGAAGTGGAGTAAAATTAGTGTCCTGTCCCTTTAAAAATAGAAATAAAAGGTGCCCCCCCTCTGCCACTGCCTCTCTCTTCATCATCAGCTGCTGCTGCTGCTGGGGTCTCTCTGCTTGGGGGGGGGAGGGGGGGCTCGGGTAGAAGAGACGGGAGGCACTCACTGCGCATGTCCCTTTCTGACGGGCGGCTGGTTGGTGGAAGGCAGGAGGAGGGGGAGGGGAGGAAATGAGATGTTTTCCCAGAAGGCTCCGAGGCGCCCTCGACCCGGAAGACATTGTAACGGGGGGGGGTAGGGGGCGGGGGCGGGAGAGGGAGGAAGTCGCTACTCTAACACCCCCAGCTGCCTCCTCCCCCCTAAGGGAAAGTGGAGGGACGGAAGTAGGCGTGGACGGAGGCGAAGGAAGGTCACGTGATGGGGAGGGCGTGGGCGGGCCGGAGGCGGGGCGAGAGGGCGGGACGTGCGCGGGGCATGCCGGGAGTGGCTGTGTGTGGTTGGCAGGAGAAGCTGTGGGAAACGCAGCCCGCAGATCTGGTGGTTCGCTAGCTCCCGGATACGGTCTGGTGTAGGCCGGCTTTGCTGAGCGAGGTAAGGCTGGTTCAAGAGCCAAGACCGGGTGGCGGTGGCCACAGCGTGGCGGAAGTGGGCGGATGGTAGGCTGTGGAGATTGGGAAGGAGGCAGGCTTGTGTAGGCCGGTCAGGCCTAACCCAGGCTTCATCTCTTGCGGTCCCTGAGGTCTCTGGGCTCCCATGGGCAGGATCCTGAGGACAGCGAGTGCTGAAGACCCTAGTTGCCGAAGGCATGTAGGTCAAATATCTGTTGGGCCGAATGTAGAGAATTTGGACTTGTGACTGAAGACTTGCTCTTCGCCTCAGAGCAGGTGCCCTAGGCAGGAAAGCCAAGCCCGATGTGTGCATTTTATAACTGCTTCGGTAGCAATTAGACTGGGTATTGGACCTCTCGGGTTTCTTAGTTTGCAACCTTCCTTGGAATTCCGAGGAAGCTTTAGGCGGGCGAGGTTTGAGTGAAAGCCCTGTCGTGCCTGGTCGCTGCTACACAAAAGACCATGCGTGTTCTGAGGATGTGTGGGATGGTGTAGTCCTGAATAGTATAAGTTACTGCTTCTAAACAGAAAAGAAACACGATCAGATTTTTCCTCACTTTACAATAGATGAGATACTTTTTAATTGGGTGCTTCGTGTTTTGGTACTGAAAGTTTTGTTTTCACGTTCGTTTTGAATAGTAATCATAATTTTTCATTGCCGCCTTTTGTAAACATACTTTGAAGGATCATCGCTTAGAATTCAAATCCCTTTTAACTAGAATCCTCCTGCTTACTGTGTATTATTTAGTTGCGTAGTGTAGGCTCTGTAGGGTACATTGGCAATTAAAGTTGCTGTCTTTACAAATTTTGCTTTCAACAACTTTAGGCAGTGGACCCTAGTTACACATCTATTCATTATCTTTGTGTGACTTGATGGTGTGAGATGGGATGAAAACCCAACTGCTATGCCCTAAAATTTTATTAGAAACCTAAATGCAGTCACATTGTAATACAAAATATATGTATATAGCAAGAAAACGAATGTCCTAGATGGATCTTTTAAATCATCTTACAGAAGGACTAAATGAAAGGAAAAGTGCACAAAACAGATGCAGTGAACAACTAACTACAACATGAACTCTGTTAACACTGTGAGTCAGAAACTAAAAAGTCTGGCTTCTGGGAAGTAGACTTCCACTAACCCATTCCTGACCATTAGTCATTTTAACAATACCTTAATTTTTGTGGTAATTATGTACTACTTTTCCTTTTAGTATCTTTTAACAACTTGATAATATTCCTAAGCAAAAGCTAGTTTCCTATGTTTTTATCTATTTGTAAACTGACCACATATATTCTGTTATGTGTCATTTTCTGTTTCTTCTTACTTTGCTTAGGTTTGACCCTGTTAATTTATCTTCCTGTAATTCACATATTTTTGTTGAGTGTAAGGTATAAGTCTAAGGTATAAGTTTTTTTTTTTTTAGGAACAAACTAGTATCAATTAGTCTTAATACTAATGGACATTTTGCTTTTGTTCACTTTTTAGCAATTTTGGAACAATTTATGGCTAGTATATACTTCCATTTTTAAGCACATAATATTTTTGTAGATTGCATATGTCAAAATTTTTCTAAGAGTGGCTGTGCCATTTTATACTACCATATCAGTGTATGATAGATCCTTATTTGTATATTCTCACCAATTATATTTTAATTTTGCCAACTTGATAAATCTAGTTTTATTGTATTTTAATTTACCCTGTCCGGGTTCTTTTTGGTCTGTTTGGTCTTCCTGGAATTGCCATTTTGGTCATCTTTCTAAGTCTTTTGTGTAGCTTTCCTATTTTGCTTTCTTTCATAAATATTTTTAGCATTATGGCAAATATCTGATCTTTCTTAACTCTCTTCCTGGTTAGTATGTTTAATTGTATTAGCTTATGTGTTTTTATTGTTGCTTGAATTTTATGTATAATTTTAACACCTGGAAGCAAGTTCTCTACTTGTGCTCTTTAGTACAATTGCCTCTAGCTGCATGTAGCTTTTGAGCACTTGAAATGTAGGTAGTGTGACTGACAAAGTAGGATTTTTCCTTTTTAGTGTTTTGTTTTGTTTTGAGAAGGTTTCTAATTATGTTCCCCAGTCCCCTCCAACTCGAGATCTTCATACCTTACCTTCTCCTACTCCTGCCTTAGACTCCTGAGCAGCACGTTTCAAATGTACCAGGCTGAAGTTTTAGTGCTGTGTTTTGTAAACTTAAATTTGAAAACTGATACTTTTTTGAGTTATTGTAAAACTTTTATGTTTAGGGCAGTCTGAATGCATAAATCTGCTTTCTCACCTGTAAATATTGTGAGACTAGTGATCAAGGGGTTGAGGCATTGGCTCAGTAGGTGAAGAAGACACTTGCTGCCAAACCTGAATTCTATCCTGAGTATGTAGTAGAAGGAAAGAAACTACTCCCCTAAGTTGTGTCTTCTGACTTCCACATGAGCACCACAGCACAGATACACACCCATAAATGAATGAATGTTAAAACTATAAAATTAAAAATATTGTGTTTGAGATGCTTTTAGCAATTAAATGTGATTTTTGTGTAAATTTTAGATAAACACTGGCTTTCAAAGACAGTATTGGAAGAGTGTAAAGCAACCTCAGCTCATTGTTGCTTGTTGAAATCAGTACTTTTCTCTTGGTTCACTTTATTATATATGGTTACTAGAAAGTGTTACTTATGACTTAATGTTAGAAATGTTTTCAAATATAATATAGAGCTAGATGTTTCTACATGTTTACCACAGTCTTCTTAGTGTCCTGAGGCTCTTTTCCTTTTGCTTAAGTATAGTCTTTAGATGCTCCTTAATGTGGACAATTTACCAGGTCTTTTACTTTTTTTTTTTTTTTTTTTTTTAATAAGCCTTTGCCTTCAGCTTTGAAGAGTTTGGGGCTATCTTGTAGCTTTGTGGTGGTTTTTCACCATCATGAAAGTAATACTCCACTGTTTCTGGATTCCACTATTGATTATGTGAAATCAACTCTCAGTTTCACGTTGCTCTGAAGGAAAATTGCCTATAAAGATATTTTGTTTGCTGTAGTTACTCTGTTTTACTGTGGGTGGTGTTGTATGTGTTTCTTTGTCCTGCTTTTTAGGTTTGTTGGGATTCTTGAATCAGTGAAATGTTGTCTTTTTAGAAATAAAAGCTGCTAATACTATTTGTAGTTACCTACTAAAAATTCAAACCTTGACTTTCATCAAGTATTAGTAAGTTTGTTGTCTTTGACAATAATTCCATGTTTTAAATTTTTATGAGTCCTGCATATCCGTACTTCAGCCCTCTTTACTATTAACCTAGTTTACAGTATTGTCTTGCCTTACTATGATGTATTTGTTATAGTTAATGAGCAAATGTTGAAACAGCAATGCTAGTCCATAGTTAACAGTGGGGTTGCCTTTGTATTATATATTCTGTGGTTTTTCATTGTGATAATCTATCACTAGTGTGGTTACTAGTTTAACTGCCCTGATATATCTTGTGCCTGTCCCCTCCCTATTTCCCTTTTGTCAGACATTTGACAACCACTGATACTTGCATTGTTTCTATAGTTTTTTCATAATCATAGACTTAAACAGTATGTTATCTTCTCCAAGTTGGCTTCCTTCACATCTCAGTTTAATTATCTAAAGCTCATGCATGTCCTTTTTTTCATGTCTTCATAGCTTCCTTTCGTATAATTACATTTATGGCTATACCAGTGTTTTTATCCTTTTACCAATTAAAGAATATCTTGCTTCCCATATCCTAGTTACTAATAAAAGTACTAGCTGGGTGTGGTGGCATGTGCTTTTAGGAAGATGGCTTGAATTCAGGAGTTCCAGACCAGCCTGAGTGAAATCTAAATAAAATAAAAATAATAAAGTAAATATACCATAATTGTCTTACTGCTGTGATAAAATAGTCTGACAAATGCACCTTGAGGGATAAAGGGTTTTTTTCAGCTCACAGTTTTAGGTTATAGTATCTCATGACAAGAAAGTCGCAGCAGCAGGAGCTTGAGGAAACATTACATCACAGTCAGAGCAGAGAGCAGTAAATTAATACGTGCATGCTAGTGCTCAGTTATACAGACCAGGATTCCACAATCCCAGGGAATAGTGCTTGCCTCAGTGGGTAGGTCTTCCTACATCAGTTAACAGTAGTAAAATAATCCCTCACATTCTCAGAGGCCCCTCTCCTAGGGGATTGTAGATTGTGATAAATTGACAGTTAAAATTCACCATCACAATGAGTAATTGGATGAAAGCTTTTTTGTTGTTGTTGTTGTTGACCTATATCTTTGACCCTTTTGAGTAACCAATGCATTTAGTTGCTCGATTGTCCGTAAAGACCGTGTTTAGATTTGTGACAAACTGCTAAACAGTCTTAAAAAGTGATCGACCAGGCTGGAGAGACGGCTCAGCGGTTAAGAACACTGACTGTTCTTACAGAAGACTCGGCTTCAAATCCCAGCATCCACGTGGCAGCTAACAACTGTCTGTAACCCCTATTCCAAGGGATCTGATGGCTTCTTCTGTCCTCCGTGGGCATTGCACAACACAGGTGCACTTAATCTACATGCAATACAATACATTCATATACATGAAATAAAAATAATAAATTTTTTTTAAAGTGATAGACTATTTAGTATTCCCAACATCATTAAGGAGTTTTCATTAATCCATACTTTCACCAGCATTTGTTGTTAACTTTTTAAAATTCTTACTTTAATAGTTATGGACTGTTCTATCACTGATTTACTCTACAGTTCTCTAATGATGTGTGATGCTGAGCCACCCTATTTCATGAGGTGTTAGAGTAAATCTCTGGCATTCTTTAACTAGGTTGTTTTCTTAGTATTTTTTTAAGAGGTTTTTGTATGTTTTGAATACCAGTCTTTAATCAGACAAGTGTTTTGCAAATGTTTTCTCCCAGTTTGAGGCTTGTTTTCATAGTCTCAGCCATGCACTTTGTAGAGCAGAACTTTTTAATCTTAATATTAAGTTCATACTTTTTCTTGTTTTAGTGTTTTATAAAAAAAATTATCAAACTCAAAATCACCTTTTTTCTGTATTATTTTTAGGAAGTTTTTTATATAATCAGTTCATGGTACTGTCCTGTTCAGATGTGTCTCTTCTGTTTTTACTGTATACTGGACTGGTCATTTACTTATAGACAGCTGTTGATAACTCCAGCTGTGATAGTGGATTTTTTCATTTCTGCTT